TTTTTTTTCTAGAATGTGTGTATCACATAAAAAGTAAGTTTATTTTTCCTCCAAACAAGTGATTCTTTGTCTCACCTTTTCATCCCTGATGCCATTCTTTTTGGTGTCTATATTTGGCTACAGTAGATATCTCTCATACATAGAGTTACCTGGTATTTGGTTTTTTTATTGGTATTACTATTTCACTTAATATGCTATCTTAAAAGTTGATCATTGTAAATATTATACAAATTCTTATCTTTGTAAAATTATAAAAGTTTTCATATTTCATTTCACATCACCTACATGTAGTCATGTGAAATGTAATTTGATTGGTTTGCCACATTGGTCTCTATTAAATGTTGTTTTAATGAGAATATATCTGTAAATATATTTTGATTTGACCATCAAGTTGAGGGCTAATTGATGTGCTTTTAGTTTTATTACTCATGTCTTCCTCATTTAACCTCAAGTTAAAATGCTCTATTAAATATTGTAACTTTTATTGTATTTATATAAGGAAGCATTTTTTATTTTAATATGTGTAGTTATGTATGTACCCAGGATATTCCATAGAATTATTCAAATAACTTATTTTGTACATGCGACAATAATATTGATTTTTGATTGGTATTACATGGACTTCATAGATTACTTTGGGTGCTTTAGGCTTTTTTTCTGTAACAGAGGTGTTTATCCTCTGAGCCACATCTACACCCCTTTTTTGGAAGGTTACTGAGGATTGACCTTAGGGCACTTGCCCACTGAGCTACATCCCAAGCCCCATTTTGTATTTTATTTAGAAACATGGTCTCCTTCAGYTGCTTACCACCTTGTTTTGATGAGGCTGGATTTGAKCTCACAATCCTGCTGACTCCCAAGCTTCTTGAATTAAAAGTGTGTGTTATCATGCCTGGCTGGCAGCTGTTTTATATATCATTTTGTTACAATGTCTAGGTAAGTTGCTTAGGGCCTTGCTTAATTGCTGAATTTGGCTTTAAACTCATAATCATAAATTTTAAATATCACTTTTGCTTTTGATTTCTGTCTTATTATGTTATGTTAGAATGCA